AACAAAACACTGCCCAGTTCTGCACCATCCTCACAACCGTTTTGATGCTTGAGCCAATTGTTGCAGCCACTGTGTCACTCCATCTCTTTGAGGGTCTTCCTCTTTATTGCTGACCCTCCACTTTACCAAGCATGATGTCCTTCTCCAGGGACTGATCCCTCCTGATAACATGTCCAAGGAGCACTGTGGCTGTACTTCTTCCGCCTGGCGTATAGTAATAACTTAATTCAAAATAACCCTGCTGTCTTTTCTTTGTGGAGCCCTGGTGGCTCAGTGGTTAACAGGTCAGCTGCTAACCAAAAGGTCGGCAGTTTGAATCCACCAGCCGCTCCTTAGAAACCCTGTGGGGCAGTTCTACTCTGTCCTATAGGGTCGGAATCAACTGGGAGGCAATAGGTTTGGGTTTTTTTTTTTTTTTTTTTCTTTCTCTGTTAGACTCTGTTGAAACCTAGCATATGTCTTCTGCCGGGTATGCAGGGAAAGGAAGAGCTTCTGCCTACTTTCTATGTCTTGGCCTCATCATTGCTATTGCAGGAGCTGAACAATTTCATTGTTACTTTTCAGAACCTAGAGCAGCCAACTCTTACTCCCTCAACAAAAGGGGACTGCTTTAATGCCGATAATTGTTCCTTTTCTTCAAAGTACTTAGACTGTAATTATACATGTATGACCATTATGATTTGATTATTATGTCCCTCCTCTTGAACAGTGCCTGGCACATAACAGGCATTCAATTAACATTTATTGAATGGGCCATGTGATAATGAACTGAAGCGTCTGGTTCCCTCTAAACCTTCGGTGAAGCAGCAGTTCGCTGCGAAAGATGTTCCCAGTGTCCTTGAGGTGAAACAGGAATAGACCCTGGAGGCAGAGGGCCCCTCCACTTGACCCTAGTCCCTGCTTCTCTCGGGGACAGGGAGGTCAGAGAGTCTGGGCAGAACACTGCTCCCTCCACTTAACGCTGCTGTGTAGCAGCTTCGGCCGACAATGATGTTGTGATGAAAAGTTGCAAAGCTGGGGGGCGAGAGAAGGAGGAGAAGAAAAGACCCGCTTTAGGCCGTGTTCTTCCTTAAGTTCACGCCCGCGGTTCCGAATTGAGTCCCCTCAGCCGCCGGAGGGCGCTGTGCACAGAGCCTTAGACTCTATGGTCGCTGCCACTGTCTCCCATGAGGAAGTGCGCTCAGGAACCTCGTATATACTTCCGTTTCCGCCCCTGCTCCCTCCTTTTCCCGTCGATACGGCTCCAGCAGACATGGTAGGAGCTTGGGGTTGAGCCTCGTAACATCCAGTTTGATCTTTTACCCCTGTTGACGGTACTGTCCCAGAATGGGTCCAAATCCCTACGTGGACCCGATATACTAAAGAAACCCAATTCGGCCGGGCCCGTCTCCCAAGGGCCTGGGCTCTGGGGCCAGGAATTGAAGCGGTGGGATCGAGAAAGTAGACTTAGCCGGGGGTGGTCAGCCCTGTCGGGGGTTGAGTTAATATGATCCCTTCCCTCTCGGGCGCGCGGAGATCGCTCTACCGAAGCACGTGCTGCTGGGCCCCTATCTAGTCAGCTACGTTAGCGTTGGGTGTTAGCAAGGAGTTAAGCGTCCTCGTGGCTTTAGCTGCGTCAGTTCGGGCGTTGTGTTATCGTGGTCTGATAACGCTGCATGTTTTGGATGGTTTACTTACTAGGTGAACGTTCCAAAAACCCGCCGGACTTTCTGTAAGAAGTGTGGCAAGCACCAACCCCACAAAGTGACACAGTACAAGAAGGGCAAAGATTCTCTATATGCCCAGGGTAAGGTTTTTAATGTAATTTGGTTTTGATGTGGCATTTGCATAGGAGTGTTGATAAGGCCCAACGTAAAGCCCGTTAGAAGACTTCTGTGTGCTTCTTGTGACATGTACTGTAGTACTATAACAAATAACTTGTTTTTCCAGGAAAGCGGCGTTATGACAGGAAGCAGAGTGGATATGGTGGGCAGACTAAGCCGATTTTCCGGAAGAAGGTTAGTGATAATTGCTATTTGACATGTTTCCCAGGAACCGGGGTCAGGGCCTTGAATTTGTTGTCACAGGTCCTTGCACTTCTACTATATAGGTGTGTTGAAGTTATCCAAATTGCCAGCAGTGACATACTCAATAGGTAATGGAGCTGGAAGTGTAACCCAGGTCGACTCTAGTCTGTAATACTGCCTGTCTCAGTGTTTTGCAATTTTGGTTTTTCCCTTTCTGAAAAAATTAAGGAATATGCCCAACGTTCTTTAAAAGTCTTGAGAATAGCCATTTAGGCCTTCCACTGTCGTCCTCAATTCTTCGTCACTCTTAGGCTGAATGAGTTTCTGTCCCACTCTAGGTGATTTGGCTACCACATAAAGTAATTAGCACAGTGCCCAGAACATTTCTTTTGGCACTTTGCAAACTGCTCGTCACCTAGCCTAGTTCCAAAAAGCACTTATAGAATGATTTTAGTGTTAATTTAGTTGCAATAAACGGTTTGATCTCTAGATGGTAAACGGAATGCTTGAGTGTCTTTTTCATATTTGGGTAGCTTGTTTGAAGATGAGATTCTAGCTAGGTTTTGGCTTTTTTTTGAGACTGCAGGTTAACAGCAATAGAACTCTGAAAGGGCAGGCTGAAAAAGTTGAATATTAATAGTAGATTTAAGTAATACTTATGAGCATTTTAAATGAATTCTAAAAGCTGTTCATAATTGTAGGAATTTGGTTGACCCATTTTTGGTTGTCCTAGAATACTGGGGAACTATGTAGAAGAGCTGAAGAGCCAGCCATTCAAGGTGGCATGAGTATTTGATAGGAAGCCTTCTACTGGGATGTTTAATCTGAATGGAAATTCAGTAATAGAACTTGATGGATAACCTGTTACCTTTAAAATTAAATCTTCTGTCTAGAAATTACATTTTCTCTTTTAAATGCACTGGGGTTTTTAAGACCACCATTTTCTCCCTGCGGCTAAAGACAATTGGCACAGCTCAGTCATTTGCAAGGCTTTAAGTAGTACTTGATTCAACGTAGTCATATTCTTTTGAAGAAAATGATTTTATGCAATGGTTTGTGAAGGGTTTGACTTATTTTTTTTCCCCCAGGCTAAAACTACAAAGAAGATTGTGTTGAGGCTTGAATGTGTTGAGCCCAACTGCAGATCTAAGAGAATGCTGGCTATTAAGAGATGCAAGCATTTTGAACTGGGAGGAGATAAGAAGAGAAAGGTATATAATTAAAATTGGAAGGTGTCATCTTTTCTATGTAGCTTTATTATATTTGGAGAGGTGAATATTTATGCTCATATTGTGCATAGAGATAGAGACAATCTTTAAAAATAACTAGATTCATAGCTGAAGGTAATGAGGTTTTTGGTGCTGGTTTTGGCTTATATGTAGGAAGACTTTATAAAGGATGGTAATCTCTTTAGGGGGGCACAGATGATATTTGATTGGGCAGAGGTTCTTTGCAAAACAACTCACCTCTCTTTCTGTTCTATTACAGGGCCAAGTGATCCAGTTCTAAACTTCATCTTGTTTTATTATCAATACAATAAAATCTTGAGGTTATGTTCACTTCATTCGGTCGCATTTGGTCATTTGGGAGGGAAATAAACTGGGTGTCATCTATTCAATGCCCCTTGTAGAGGAATAAATTTATACTTTATGGTTTTTCTGGGTACTCATTTTGGATTGAACCTGACTGGTTGTGCTAACATCGGATGTTGGCACTTTTAACAGCAAGCCAGTGGTTATTGGTTAACATGGGAGATGAATAGAGAGTCACAGATTAACATTAAATCCAGTGAATGTAAGCGGGAAATAATCTGTTGCACGTACATTTGTTACTTCAAAATATTCTTTCCCAACAATTTTTACATGTATAATTCAGTGACGTTGATTATATTTTTTAAGTTGTGTAATCATTCTATCTTTTCCAAATTATTCCACCACCATTAACCAATATATTCTCTTTAGTAAGGAATTTTGACCCAGTTCTTTGGACGCAGTATAATACCCTTGTCTTATTAAGGGTATACATTTTCAAATACCATGTATGTGTTTGCATTTTTATAGCAGACATAATTTTTTCGCATGTTTAAGTAATTGTAAAGGGTATGATTTGTGCTGTAATATAAGTAACAGGGATATCCATTCCTAACAGAAATGATGTAAAATTTTATCTTCCTGATGTCAGCTCTTTATATTTAATGGAACAAAACTGTATGGCTACGGTGAAACAAATATGCTGCACATTGATACTGTGTTGCAGGTGCATCTCTGAGATGTAGCAGTTTTCACCCTAGAAAACTGTTGCTGTAAAAGAGCACGTCTGGGTTTGCCAATTCTGATTTTTGTTAAGAAACCTTGTTAACTACATGGGAATGGGAGGAGTTAAATGGTAACCACCTGACAGGCAAAAGAATTATTTACAACGTTGGATTCTGAGTGGAGTTTGACTTGGTTTTGAAACATTGAGGATGAGTGAGAAGCTGTGTGCCATTCTTGTTGCTCATCTAGGAAAAGGGTGATTGTAAAAGGGGAGGTGGATGAAGCCTTGACTACAGGTTCCTTCTCGGGCAAACCACTCTTAGCGAAAATAGGGAATTTGATTAATTCCCTTAAAATTACCTTGCCTGCATACATCAGTGTGAAAAGATCTCTGCCTTGTCACAGGACCCCATGAAATGAAGCACATCATCTTAAAGGGGTGGTCTTCTGGACAAAGGTATACATGCCTGTCTTGCACCATGGGCCATAATATATCTAGTTACTCTCACTTTGGTGAAAGTAAGCCATGGCCATCCTATAAACTTTGTTGTATAGAGATTACGAAACAGTCTTGGGATTTGGGAACCTAAGTTTTAAGAGTTTTTCAGAGGTTCTTGAAAGGAGTGGTGAGCTGTTTATCTGAACAAGAGTCCCTTAAAAATTCAGTATTGTGGTCCATGATTTGGTTGTCTCTAGTTCCAGATCTGAAGCTCCCACTTATCAAGGTTATTCCTGCCTGGGTGTTTTTTTTTTTTCCTGTCCTTTAATTGAAGTAAAGTTTTTTTTGTCTCCCTTCTCACCTAAAGTTGTAAGCAGAGCCACCCAAATAACCTACCTACCTCAGTAGCCCGGCTTCAGTCTGGTTCGAGCCCCTGCTGAGAATCTGCATTTCTAACAAGTTCCCAGATGATGCTAATACTGCTGTTTATGGACCAATTCTGAGAACCATTAGTAGAGAAGTGGTTCTTAAAACTTATGCATAAAAATCACCTGGGGATCTTGTTAAACTAGATTCTGAGTCAGTGTATCTGGGGTGGAAATAACAAATCCTCAGCAGGGGTTCGCTGGAGTCAGTAGGCAGCAGGGTGATGGTAGAGTCTGGATTCCAATCCTGGCTCTATATAATGAATACCTGCCTCAGGGTTGTGAGGATTAAAATGAGTTAATATGTGTTAAGTAAGCATCTAGAACAGTGCCTAGCACATTTTAGGTACCCAATAGACACCTTTAGAAGTAGTTTTATTAAAAGAACAACTTTGAAAGACTTTATTCAATAAGTAGGAATGAAAGAAAGGTGAACAGGAAGAGGCGGGATAGAGTCATTTCAGCAGCAACATACACATTCTATGCAATTTAAAGAAAGCATTTTGGTATTGCAGTCCGGCTTCAGCTTGGTCTTTTTATCTGAAGCAAAACAGTGCCTGTGGGATTTATTCGTGTTTTTAACACTGAAGTCCATTCAAAGAGCCCAAGCTCTTTTTTGACAGGGAGGAGCTGTGTGATGAGGCAGGCAGGATTACAGGCCACTGCTCGACCCAGGGAAGCAACTGAAATGGTATGAGAAAGAGGTCCACCTATCTCCAGCAGACTTCTTATAGCCACAGCCCAGGCTAAGTTTGAGAGAGGTCGTTCCCACACCTCAAATTTGTCTTCCTGAAAAGGAACCCAAGAATATACGTGTGATAGGTGTAATAATTAGGTAACTGGCAATAAGTTGCCTTATTAGTTCTAGCATTTAGTCTTATTGTCATAACAAGTACTTGTAGGGAAAAAAACTAGCATATTTTGGAGTCCCTGGGTGGTGCAAATGGTTAAGTGCTCAACCAATAGCCAAAAAGTCAGTGGTTCAAACCCACCCTGAGGCAGCTTGGAAGACAGGCCTGGCTATCTGCTTTCAAAAGGTCACAGCCTTGAAAACTCAATGGAGCACAGTTCTGTTCTGCAACTCATGGGGTCGCCATGAGTCAAGATCAATGGCAAGAAGTTTGGTTTTTTTTTTTTTAATAGCCTATTTTGGAAATAAAGTAATAGTTCTAGCAAAAAGCCTCATTACTGAGTCTAATATCAAGATCAAGAAAAAAAAAACACAAATATTTTTAAAAGATCTATACATGTCCCCACATAACAGAATCAGGCTCAAGACAAACTTGGTACTTGGATATAACCTAAACCAAAAAAACCTCTGCCATGGAGTCGATTCCAACTGATAGCGACCCTTTAGGGCAGAGTAGAACTGCCCCATAGGGTTTCCGAGACTATAAATCTTTACAGAGGCAAACTATGAAGTCTTTCTCTCGAGGAGCAGCTGGTGGATTTGAACCACCGATCTTCTGATTAACAGCCGAGTGCTTTAACCACTGTGCCACCGAGGCTCCTCTTGGATATAAAGCCAACTTAAAATACCCGAAATAAAACATTTGGATGAGTTGTACCATAAACCAGAGAAATCAGGAGAATATGTATCCGGCCAATTGTATTTTCTCCCATAGAGCATTAATTACTATACCTTTCTAAGCAGGTACCCCTGCTTGCCCAAGAGGTCCTGGTTGATGGCAATTACATCCTTATCCTGAAGTAGAGCTTTGGCTTGAGGGCTGATGTGTCGGAGGTCATTAGACATGAGTAAGGGAGCTGCCATGATAGCCCAGAGGGCCATCTGAGTTACCTGCTGATCCCAGCTGAGGCCAAAGTTGCCAATCACTAACTGGGACAAAGGAAATAATCCAAATAAGAGAAGATGAAACAGCACCCTGCTGTAAGCACACCCACATAAAGGCTCCTCCCACAGACTTGAACAAGGAGAACTCAAGGTTCTTACCATATCTGGGTCATTCCAACCCCCTGGTCCAGCAACATCAACAATCGTGTCCTGGTTATATGATGTCCAGTCCAAAATACCCTTTATACTTTGCCAGGAATCAAAGATATCACCAAAATTTCTCCAGTGATTGCAGTACTGTCGGATTTCTGTGTAATTGGGCTATGAAAACAGAGTTCTTCTGTTTACTTTTAGTAACATCCTTGTAAGATGAAAACAGCCAAGTTGAAAGGAGGCACTTGCAGCCTTCTCTTTAGTTAACACATCTACATCTACATCCTTATTACAGTAGTCCCTCCTTATCTGTGGTTTTTCTTTCCGAGGTTTCAGTTACCTTCAGTCAACCGTGGTCCGAAAATATTAAGTGAGTAGCCTGATGAAACCTCGTGCCCTCCCACTCCATCCCGCCCAGGGACCACATTCATACAACTTTTGTTACAGTATATTGTTATAATTGTTCTATTTTATTATTAGTTATTGTTTTAATCTCTTACTGTGCCTAATTTAGAAATTAAACTTTATCATAGGAGTCTTGGAATGCATCCCCTGTGGGATAAGTGGGGACTACTGTATAAGGGAATTTCATTGTGAGAAGTATGCTTCAGAACTAGGCAATATAACTTAAAATCCTTACTTAAAAGGCTTTAACACTGTTCATGCTGGAAATTTATCAAAAGGTGTTGGGGTTATGGGTGATTTTTTAATTTTCTTTACTGTGTTTTCAAATTAAAAATAAAATGAGCATTCATTACTTTTATAATCAGAAATAAGTATAAAATGATCTTAAGTAACAGTAAAAGCTGCAAAATTCCATAGTACTCATCATCAAGCATATAAAACAATCTGAATCCTAGGCATGTAATTTGTTAATGGAATGAATAAAAGTTTGTATCCGACGTTTAAGATGTTAAGAGGTGACAAATTAGAAGGAAATAATAGGGATTCATTCATTATTCAACAGTTACCATATGGTAGGGATACACTGATAAAGTCAGACAAGGTCCCTCCTCATGGAGCTTACATTCTAGACAAACATGTCAACTATACTTCCATATACTGCTAAGCAATCTGAAGGAAATTAAACATGAAAATGTGATAATGAATGGGTAGAGGGCTATTTTAAAGCAGAGAAGACCTATCTTCTCATTCTTCAACTGAGACATTGGTAGGAAACTTCAATAATAAGGAGCTGGCCATTTAAAAATCTTGAGGGAAGAGCATTCCAGGCAGAACAAAAAGCAAGTTTAAAGACCCTGAGGCAGGGTTAGCAATATTAATCTCCGACAAAATAGACTTTAAAGTAAAATCCACCATAAAGGATAAGAAAGGACACTATATAATGATTAAAGGGTCAATACACCAGGAGGACATAACGGTAATAAATATTTACGCACCCAATGACAGGGCTCCAAAATACAGAAAACCAACTCTAACAGCACTGAAAAGATAGATAGACAGCTCCACAATAGTAGTAAGAGACTTCAACACACCAGTGTCGGTGAAGGACAGAACATCCAGAAAGAAGCTCAACAAAGATACGGAACAGCTAAATGCTACAATCAACCAACTTGATCTCATAGACATATATCGAACACTCCACCCAACAGCAGCCAAGTATACTTCTTTTTCCAACGCCCACAGAACATTCTCCAGAATCGACCACATATTAGGCCATAAAGCAAGCCTTAACAAAATCCAAAGCATCGAAACATTACAAAGCATCTTTTCTGACCATAAAGCCATAAAAGTAGAAGTTAACAACAGAAAAAACATCAACACATGGAAACTGAACAACACCTTGCTCAAAAACTACTGGGTTATAGAAGAAATTAAGGATGGAATAAAGAAATTCATAGATTCAAACAAGAATGAAAATATATCCTACCAGAGCCTTTGGGACACAGCAAAAGAAGTGCTCAGGGGTCAGTTTATAACAATAATTGCACACATCCAAAGAGAAGGGCCATAACCAAAACATGAACCCTACAACTGGAACAAGTAGAAACAGAGCAGCAAAAGAAGCCCTCAGGCACCAGAAGAAAGGAAATAATAAGAACTAGAGCAGAATTAAATGAAATAGAGAATAGAAAAACAATTGAAAGCGTTAACAAGACCAAAAGCTGGTTCTTTGAAAAGATCAACAAAATTGATAAACCATTGGCCAAACTGAAAAAACAAAACAGGAGAGGAAGCAGATAACCCGTTAAAAAATGAGATGGGTGATATCACAACAGACCCAACTGAAATTCAAAGAATCGTTAACAAATTTGAAAACCTAGAGGAAATGGACAAATTTCTAGAAACTCACTACCTAGATAAACTAACACAAACAGAGGTAGAATAACTAAATAAACCCATAACAAAAGAAGAGATTGAAAAGATAATTTAAAAACTCCCAACAAAAAAAACCACTGGCCTGGATGGCTTCACTGGAGAATTCTACCAAACTTTCAGAGAAGAGTTAACACCACTACTACTAAAGGTATTTCAGAGCATAGAAAAGGATGGACTACTCCCAAACTCATTCTATGAAGCCAGTATAACCCTGATACCAAAACCAGGTAAAGATACCACAAAAACGAAAATTACAGATCAATATCCCTCATGAACATTAATGCAAAAATCCTCAACAAAATTCTAGCTAATAGAATTCAGCAACATACCAAAAAAATAATTCACCATGATCAAGGGGGATTTATACCAGATATGAAGAGATGGTTCAACATTAGAAAAACAATGTAATCCATCACATAAATAAAACAAAAGACAAGAACCACATGATCTTATCAATCGCTGCAGAAAAGGCATTTGACAAAGTCCAACACCCATTCATGGTAAAAACTCTCAACAAAATAGGAATAGAAGGGAAATTTCTCAATATAATTAAGGGCGTTTATACAAAGCCAACAGCCAACATCATCCTAAATGGAGAGACTTTGAAAGCATTCCCCTTGAGAACGGGAACCGGATAAGGATGCCCTTCATCACCACTCTTATTCAACATTGTGCTGGAGGTCCTAGCCAGAGCAATTAAGATAGAAAAAGAAATAAAGAGCATCCAAATTGGTAGGGAAGAATTCAAAGTATCTGTATTTGCAGAGGATATGATCTTATACACAGAAAAGCCCAAAGAATCCACAAGAAAACTACTGGAACTAATAGAAGATTTCAGCCAAGTTTCAGGGTACAAGATAAACATACAAAAATCAGTTGGATTCCTTTACACCAAGAAAGAGAACCTCAAAGAGGAAATCACCAAATCGATACCATTTACAATAGCCCCCAAGAAGATAAAATACTTAGGAATAAATCTAACCAGAGATGTAAAAGACTTATACAATGAAAACTACAAGCCACTACTGCAAGAAACCAAAGGAGACCTGCATAAGTGGAAAAACATTCTTTGCTCATGGATAGGTAGACTCAACTTTGTGAAAATGTCAATTTTACCCAAAGCGATCTACAGATGTGATGCAATCCCAATCCAAATTCCACTGCATTTTTTAATGAGATGGAGAAACAAATCATCAACTTCATATGGAAAAGGAAGAGGCCCCAAATAAGTAAAGCATTGCTCAAGAAGAAGAACAAAGTGGGAGGCCTCATACTACCTGATTTTAGAATCTATTATACCACCACGGTAGTCAAAACAGCCTGGTCCTTGTACAACAACAGATACATAGACCAATGGAACAGAGTTGAGAATCCAGACATAAATTTATCTACCTATGAACAGCTGATATTTCACAAAGGCCCAAAGTCCATTAATAGGGGAAAAGACAGTCTCTTTAACAAATGGTGCAGGCATAACTGGATATCCATCTGCAAAAAACTGAAACAAGACCACACCTCACACCATGAACAAAAACTAACTCAAAATGGATCAAAGACTTAAATATAAAATTGAAAACGATAAAGATCATGGAAGAAAAATTAGGGACAACACTAGGAGCCCTAATACATGGCATAAACACAGTACGAACCATAAGTAACAATGCACAAGCATCAGAAGAGAGACTAGATAAACGGGAGCTCCTAAAAATCAAACATTTATGCTCATCAAAAGACTTCACCAAAGAAGTCAAAAGACAACCTACAGACTGTGAAAAAATTTTTGGCTACGACAAATCTGATCAGCATCTAATCTCTAAAATCTACAAGATACTGCAAAACCTCAACAACAAAAAGACAAATAACCCAATTAAAAAATGGGCAAAGGATATGAACAGGC